ATAATATTTAGTTTTATTAAAATGTTAATAAAAAGATTTAAAATATGAAATTTTTTAGAAATATTTAAAAAAATATTTTCTAAAAGTAATTTCTTAAAAGGATATATAATAAAATTGTTATTTAAGAGGTTAAAGCTTTTTTTTATAAATGTACTCACTATATATTTACTTTTTACAGTTATAGAAGATACTATAGTTTGCTTTATACATTGGATTTAACTATTATTAGCTTAGTTCTTTATATAAAATATTTTTTTTAATATTTTCTTAGATCTTAATTATATATAATTAAGTTTTTTTTTTGATATCATTTATAATAAATGCTGATTACTTTTTTTTTTTGTTTTTGCTAAGGCTATGATTATTAACTACTGTCTTTATTGTGATTTGAATTATAATTACATAACTTGTATAAAGTAAATATACAACTAGTTATATATACAACTTTTGGCTATTTATTTATCTATTTACAGATTTTATACTAACTGTTATATTTGTAATCTGCTAAAAGATTATTTAATTAAACACTTTGATCTTTATACTATATCTGACAGATAGCATACAAGTTTTTGTATATCTAAATGCTGTTTAACCTAATTTTGACCTTTCTGTCTATATATCTATTAAGCTAATATATATTTCAGAATATGTTATCTAACTGTAAAACTTCAAAGAGCCTTTTTGCTAACTAACTACCTACATTTAGTCCTTATTAACAAAACTTATTTTTGCAGAGTTCACTTAAATCTCAATATTAACTTTATAGCATATTCTAATACTTATAATATGCTTTTGTTTTTGTTATTAGATTCCTAATTCAGATAGTTCAAAAGAACTATAATCTGTTTTTAGTATATTGAAATTATAATATCTAATATGCTTTTTCTCTAATTCAAAACTTTTAATAATCTAATTAATAGTATTTTTCATTTAAAGTTTTTGTTCATCCAATTTCTCTATATTAGTATCTGTTTTTTAGGTTTAGTCTTTATAATAATACTGCCAAAAATCTATATTATCTCTTTATTTAGATCTTTTTAAGCAGATATTATTAAATTACTGAATAAAAAAAAATATATAAGTATATTACATTAAGCCATTTAGATGAAAGTTTAATGAGTTTTATTAATTCTAAATAATGATTAGTAAGAGAAAATAGAAATAAAATTAGAAAAATAGGTACTAGGATTTGGGTAAACTTTACAAAAAAAAAGTAATTTAATAGATAATCCTAATACAAGTATTAGTTTTGGTTATAATAAAAATCAAATTAGTAGTAAAAAAAGAATACAGCACATTCTGATAGGTTTATCTTAAAGATAAAAATAATTTTAAAGATTATAATCCTAAGGTTGAGATAAGAATTTAAGTACAAGTAATTTAGTAAAGTTAGTATAAGAGTTTTAGATTAAAAAGTTTAAATAAAACATTTAAGCAAAGGTGTTAGGTATAGCAACTGATAAGAAAACTCTAATTAGACTTCTTAAATAGATAATATAAAAAAGTTATATATGTAGTCAATTGTATACTTATTGTAATGCCTAACAAAAATATTAATAAAATTAAAAAACTAAAAAAGTTATCTTAATACTGAAAAAAAAATAAAAATAGTATTAGAGATAAAATTAAATATTTAAGAAATATAAAAAGTAATCATTATATAATCTACTTATCTAATTAGTAGTGTCTATAATATATAGCTTTAAAAAAACCATATAACAGTATACAAATCTTTATGTAAAACCTTACTATTTTCTTCAATTAAAAAAAAATTAGTTTGAACCAACTTGTTTATATTCTATTAAATGAAAATAGATGTAAACTTCACTTTATCTTATTTGAAATAAGTATAAAATGATATTAAGAAGAGTAATTATAGTAAAGATGCTAAGTTCTAATCTTAGAATAATAAATACTGAAACTTTTTTATTGGTTTTATAATAATTATAAGAAATACTAAAATAATAAAAAATTGGTTATATAAAGAAGTTAAAGATTAGAACAAATAAGGTTAGAATTCAAGAGAGTTAAAAGAAGAGTTATGATCTTGTGTATGTTTTTCTTACAAACAATTTGTTATAAAAAAAAGTGAAATTCTCTCTTTTACAAAAGATAGTTCCATAATCCAATGATTATATAGTTCAAAATAGTTCTGTAGTCTTTAGTTTTATAGTCCAATAGTATAGACAAGTGCTCTTACAAGAAAATAATAAAATTATTAATAAAAATTCTTTAAATCTATAAAATACAATAACGTTCTTTAAAATCTTAATTCTTATTTTGTAATGCTTCTTAATTACCACCTTAACCTTGGGCCAAATTGTAAAACTGTCTTTACCACCAGTTGAGGAACGTTACACGGCATAATCTTTTCTCAAGTAACAATTCGTCGCATTTGCTTTATCTTTAAACCCGCTTATTAACCCGTAACAATAGTCACATGCTTAATTTTGATTGGCCAATCATATAGGGTCGCCATGGCCATAAAATAACGCCCTAAAAAAATATATATAAGCTTTTATATAAATATATTTAAAAGTACTTAAATAGATATATATATAAAAATGGATGATTTAGTATCTGTGGTTTAACATTGTGTCAAGAAAATTGTGGGTAGACATGCGCGTAAAGTTTCCCCGGACCTTTATTAAAAGATATATTGGTAATATGAGCCAATCAAAATTTAATTTTAATTTTGACCAATTAAAAAAGATCGGATTTTTGGCCAATCAAATGGATTTGTGATCATGCTCATCTATAAATTTTTTGGTGATAACGATAAAATTACTACGTAAATTACATCTGAATTTCGATATATCATTTATAAAAATAATTCTTTTCTTGTCTCAATTCATTTCAAATTCAGATTAATAAACTGAAAAATGGCTTCTATTGTCGATAAGATAAAAGAAAGTTGGGCATCGCTACTTTGCGTATCGTATTTTCGTTCACCGTTGACAAACCCGATCAATGCTAATGATGCTTTTTACTTCATAATAGTTGAAGCCGAAATGGCTCGTACGCAAAAGAACAAGGCTACATCATACCACTTAGGAACTTTAAAAGCTAAATTGGCAAAATTACGTAAAGAATTAATAACTCCCTCTGGTGGAAGTGGTGGTGGCGGTAGCGGTGGTATGTTTTTTCAATATTTGGTTTAATATCGATATCTATAAAGTTACAAGGTTCATTACTAAATTATAATTACATATAATCCATTTAGTTGGTTTCGATGTTGCGAAAACTGGCGTCGCTCGTATCGGTTTTGTTGGTAAAAATATTGGTTTCTCTCAACTTATGATATAATGGTATCAATGTTTAATTTAATTTCCATTTTACAGGATTTCCGTCTGTAGGAAAGTCAACTCTAATGTCAAAGTTGACGGGCACTTTTTCTGCCGTCGCTGCGTATGAATTCACTACATTGACTACTGTACCAGGCGTGCTTCAATATAAAGGTGCTAAAATTCAAATTCTCGACCTACCTGGTATTGTTGAAGGTGCGAAGGATGGTAGAGGTCGTGGTAGACAGGTCATTGCGGTGGCCCGTACTTGTTCTCTTATCTTTTTAGTACTCGATGTTTTAAAACCTCTCACTCACAAAAAAGTTATTGAAACTGAATTGGAGGGATTTGGCATCAGGTTAAATAAGAAACCTCCAAATATTTATTTTAAAAAAAAGGATAAAGGAGGTATCAATATGACGAACACTGTTCCATTGACTCATTTAGATTTGGATCAGGTCAAAGCAGTGTTAAGTGAGTACAAAATTCACAATGCTGATGTCAACTTCAAGTGTGATGCTACCGTCGACGATTTGATCGATGTTATCGAAGGACGTATTTACATACCCGCAATATATGTCCTTAACAAGGTATTTTATTAATGTGTATCGTATTCATAAATTTAATATTATATTTATTTAATACTCGATTTATTTCTTCAGATCGATCAAATAAGTATAGAAGAATTAGACTTAATATATAAAATTCCACATGCAGTTCCTATTTCTGCTCATCACGTAAGTTTCTTTCACACCGCATGATTTGTTTTTTTTAATAATTTTAGCAATAAATTATCTAACACTTCATAATTGATTATAGGAATGGAACTTTGATGAACTATTGGAAAAGATGTGGGAATATCTTAATCTTCTTAGAATGTGAGCTCGAATAATTTCGAATTTCAAATTCTGGTAAAAAAAACCTTTAACATTTTATTTTATATTTTAGTTACACAAAACCGAAGGGTCAACTACCTGATTATAGTGCACCAGTTGTTTTACGATCAAACCTTCGTACCGTTGAAGATTTCTGTAATAGTATTCATAGAGGAATCGTTAAACAATTCAAATAGTAAGCTATTTTTTTCATAATTCGTACATTGTCAATTTTACTATTTAATATTTTTATTATACATTTAGTGCTTTGGTCTGGGGTAGTTCTGCCAAACATCAACCCCAGAAGGTTGGATTGACTCACGTGCTTGCTGACGAAGATGTTGTTCAGTTGGTTAAACAATGATTTGAAAATGAGTTACTTGTTGATATAGCAAACAATGTCCATCTTGAATAAGATAATTGATAATATGTCATGGTAAAATATCCCATATCGATATATTTCTATATTTATTATACAGTGATGGAAGGCAGGGGCAATGTTTGGTTATTCAAACTAACTTTAGAAATTAGAAACGTTCACTATCTTCAATAACTATGAAAACCAACTTTTTGGATACGTAACATGTATAAAAGACAAACATACACTATTTTATGCTATGCGCATTCTGAAATTACAGTAAGTTCTTTTATCAAAATTTAATTATTATTAAGGTAATAATACCCTCATTACACACAAAAATAATAGTTACAATAAATTTTTTAATACATCCTCTATGTAAATATATAGCTATAATAAATTTTTTAAAAGAATGAATAATCAGAAATCGGTTTACTACTAAAATATAATCTTTTTAAATTTTATATAAATAAAACATTATTTTTACTGTGTCGTACTTCGATTACGACTCAATGACCATCCTCTTATAGTTAACTTCCTTTCTCTTGAGGGGTTACGTTCTTTTAAAGTATTACTTTTTTTAATAACTGGAATTTCCGTAATAGTATCACCATCAGGGCTCATTGGGATGGCATTAATTCCATTACTTCCTTCTACTAACATTCGTTTAGTATATGAAGTAGGGCTAGTTAAAGCGCTCTGTGTACTTATTGAAGCCCTTGAAGAATTAAAGCTTGTCGTTACTACTCGGTTCATTATTGATGAATTTGCAGGTGACGTTGGTGAGACTGGTGACAATTGTTCGGTATTAAGTGATGCCATTCCATAAAGTGAAGGGACACGGAACGCTTTGCTTGACCTATTCATATTTAATGAAGGAAGAGGAAATGGCGATGTTGGTGATGGTATAACTGGTGCAATTATACTAGGTTGTGTGGTTGTCTTGGTCGCTGATTGAGCTTTCGCTTTTTTACGTTCTGACAATTTATAGATTTCCTCTGCAAAATTCCTATGAAAAACTTTAGAAAATATACAACGTTACAAATGGTAAAAGCGTTTTATAATGGTATAAATGTTTACGAAAAGAAAACAATTAGATAATTTACATTTGACTAGCGTATCATGCAAAGGACGCATTTCCATGGAAACAAGACGTTCATGAATATCTAAACATCTATCAATAATAAAGACCTAATAGATAAAAACAAAAGTTATGATTAAAGTGTCTTCAAAGTACCAAATATTAGATGAATCCAAATGTAAATGGATAATCAAACCTGTTCTTCAATTGCTTCTTTTAAACTATTTACAAATGTTTCTTTATCTGGATTCGATGCTAAAAAATCTGAACTGAAAAATGCTTTTTTATACATTGGAACACCGCCATTAACAGGTGCATCCACAGCACCGTTTAAAGACATTGACAAAGGATTAGTGTTGATTTTATCTACAGGCTTTGCAGCAGTAAGATATGCATTATATTTAGCTTCAAGAGCTAACAATTCACGATTTTTTGCTTTCATGGCAGCAACAGCATTTTCAATCGGCGATACTTCGATCACGGTGACTTGAATAACTTCTGAACGTCGAAGTACTGTGGGAAAATGATCCTCAGAGACCAATATAGTTTTTTCAGTCCACAAGTCCAAGAATTCATTGGTTGATTTTACACCATCTGGATTTTTATTAACGGGTCGTGAAAAGCTAAAGGTATTTATTGAATTGTGTTCGTAATATGAACGAATAGCTGACGGTACGTTTCCCTTGAAAACAGATGCATCTCTATCAGGTTCTGGTGTCACTGCAGTCACTTGTAAAAATTGACCATCTCCATGAAGAATCTCATCAGTTGGTGTACTATTATATTTCAAGAGTTGAGCTTGAGGGTGTTTATTTTGCATTCTTTCGCAAAATGCACCAATTTTTTCCCATTCATACCCTCGATAAATAAATTGCCGATTTTGTAGACTTGCAGGGAATCCTCGACCATAAAACCCTACTCGGAAATATTCGCTAAAATATCGTTCTTTCTTTATGATATTCTCATGCAATACGGCTTGTTGCTTAAGAATATTACTTAAACGTTGAAAGTCATATGTAGTATATTCAAATTGATGAGCCAATTCCTTACATAGCTCGATACCACATTCCCATGCTTTACCTTTAACAAAATAATCCAAAATTTGAATATATAACCGCTCCTTTCGATCAAATGGAGTTTGCTTTGGAAAGTTCAGATCAGGTAATGCTTCTATTTCACAAATGGGATCCCAATCGTATAAATTTGAATGTAACTTGAGAGTCAAGGCTGCCTCTACAAAGTTATGGTAATTAACTTGCATCTGAACAAGCTGGTGCACATATTTTATATAAATTTGATCTCGGTCAATGGATTTTATAAATTTCATCAATTTGAGTGTACACATTATTCGGTCATCCTGGAATTCTTCACCATCAGGTAATTCGCGGACACCAAGTAATAACACCAAAAATTCATTAAGAGAATCTAAAAATTTCATGACAGTTTCTCGCAATGAAGTATCGACTGACGCCTCTTCAAATAATTCACGTAATTGTGCAATAAAATATTTATGAGAGATCTCATCACCTTTATTTTCTGACATGAATAATTTATCCAGAATGTCAATTATATCTGATTCCATTTGTTTGAAATCTTCGTCTAGCGAATATTGTGTAACAATCATACTGAATAACACTTTTATTGCAGCAGAGCGCAACTCATCATGATGAGATAAGCACAATTCCAATACCGGACCAATTAAGGTATTAATAAACCGACTTTGATAACCACCCATTTTACCCTCTTTTCCATGTTCCCATCCTATGGCGTCCCACAAAGTTGATAATAATTTTGCGCCTTGTCCACGAAGATCTCTAGCTAGTCTCCACACAGCACGACGTTTCTGTGGGGTAAAATTTTCAATTACCAAATGTTTACTGGTAAGCAAACTTAATAAGCAATTGAAATATTCTCGCCACAATTGTTCATTAAATGTATCTGGTGCTTCTTTGTCGGGAATATAATTCTTCTCCAACAAAGAGGATATTGGTTCGAGAAATTTTAAAAACACTTTATGGGCCATAATGTTCATATTCAACCAAGATTCTGGGAAAGCTTCATTTAGTAAAACGGATCTACAAACTTGGAATAATAAGATTAAAAATTCTGCAGTGGCATCATGACCCTCTCTATAATATGTTGAGAGTAGGTGTTCTTTCAAGTGATCTTGTGATAATAAATACATAATTTGCAGTATCACCGCGGCTATTTCTCCCAATCCGGTATAAATTGAGCTTTGTGGGTTATGTTGTGGACTAAATTGAAAATCTTTTGAATATTTGCTTGAACCAGTTGTAGGAGTCAGGTTTACACTAGAAAATGGATATGCTAAATTAAATATGGCTGGTGAAACTACTATTCCACTTCCAGCTCTCTCTCTTGGCCGGTGAGCCTCATTACTGGTAAAATACAATTCTCTATATGATTCACAAAGTTTCATCATTAGAGGAAGGATCACACGTACATTTTCAATTTCTTTCTGTTTGCTCTCGTTTTCTTTAGATTTTTCAATAGAACATTGTAGACTTTCGAGCATAATTGCAACAATGGCTACACACAATCGAATTCCATCTTGCCATTGCATTCGTGCAGCTTCGCTATCTTCATTTGTTTTTCCTGTCTTTTCCCATTTTCCCATGTGATCTGTAACCCATTCTACGACTCTACGCAAGAGCGTCGCACGAGATTCTACATTTTCGAACAAAGGACCACGACAAAATTGAAGAATAACCAATAATTTATATGCCAAGAGTTTTCCTTTTGGCAATCTCACAGATTCGGTGAAACGGATAGATATTTGCGCAAGATCTTCAGGTTCAAAACATTTTCCAAGATCCGCGAATATAGAAGCGAAATGTTGCAGGGCTAATGTTTGCGTGCCAATTATTGATTGTGGAGTTGTAATGGACATAAGTCTATCTATACTCTTGAAAAGGTCATATAGTCCTTTTTTGAATTGTTCTTCAACATAGTCACCTGATAATCCCATATTCGTCTCCTTAGTTCGTTGCAGTTCTCTAGACCGTATTATTATTTTAAAAATATATTGCCATACTTTTATAGCAGATCTTAAATTTTGTGCATTCTCTGGAGTCGCAGGTTCAGAAATGAGACGATTCATTGATCGAATTAGACTCGACGAAGCAGCTGCGCAAGAAAAATGTTTCTCAATATATACATCAAGCACAGGTCTGAAGTTCATAAACCTTCGATCAGAAACAATTCCAAGGATGGTTACTAATGCATTAAATATCAAGTCATCAAGTTCACCTTGCTGATTTATTGATGAAATTAAAATTCCAAATAGTGCATCAAAAATATCTTGAAGAAACTTTACTATTTCAACCTCTCCAACAAAAGTGAATTTTTTCAAGACAGAAATCATTTCATTCATATCTGATACTAATTGCTTCTCCCAATTTAGTAATTTAAGAAGAACTTCATTTTGCGTGTACTTGGTCGAACATAAAAATGTCATAATCGAAATAACATCTTTAGAAGAAGATGTCAATTTGTGAGTTAAATGAGAGTTTGAGGCCGAATGTACCGAAGCTGTATCTGAAGCTGTAGCAGAAGGTGACCATGGTGCATTTAAATATATTGAAGGGGTAATCAATTGCTTATCATATTTATATAAAATAACATTATGTTTTCCATCGCTTATAAATGCTTGATTTTCTTGAAACAAAGGCATATAAGCAAAAGCAAAAATCTTATCCTCTTTTTTATCTTTCGTAGAACGATGACGAAAAGTCATAAATATATGTGCATGTTCAAATAATTCTATGGGGATGTTCAGTTTAATCAATTCACCCCATGTAGGATTATTGGAATGATAGAAAACAAGGGAATCGAAATGTGTTATCCTAGGTTCACCAGAACCTTGAGAAATTGCATTTTCTAACGTTTCACCTGTATCTAATTTGACTTCCACAGTAATTTGTATGTTTCTTGAAGTAGCAGACCGACCTTGGGTGAAATCACCTGACAAAAACCTAAGGTATATTTCGTTTCGCGTATCTCCGGGAAATACGACGTCAGCAAAACCAAGACGCGATGTAATAGGAATGTCTTGGAGTAAAGCAGTGTTTTCTTTTATGATAGTAGCAGACTCTCCACAATAAGGACGAATAGAAACACTAATCATTTCAGCTCTTGGGGATTTTTCGAATTCTTTGACACGACTATGAATTATATCTTCGTGAAGAGTAGCAAATGTTGATTCTTGAACAGGAACATATATTTGCATTACATGTTCACTAAAAGTTTCTTTTTCTTTTCCTTGAAGGAGATGACTAATTTCGAGAACTGCACAACCAAAAGGTCGGCGAAATGTTTGCGATGAGAATTTCGCACTAACAATTGAATTTTGATCCGTATTATCCGAATCTTTTGAAGTCTTGGAAAACAATGATGTCATTGCCCCGGTTTCTTTGGATAGATCTTTATCAATCATTTTCATACTTCCAGTTCTTACAATTCTACAAAGTAAATAAACTTGCTCTTGAATATCATGAGGAGAAAGGTCAGTAAAGAGAGTCCTGATTTTTCCAATTTTAGATTCATCCTTTGGTACACCATTGTGATTAAGTACAATAAAGTATTCTTCCGTTATAAATCGAGAATCAGATTTTGTATATAAAGAAAAATAAAGTTCGGTGAATTCACCAGGAGAGGATATTGAAGCAACCCAAGCTTTTAAATCCAAAAAAATGTGATAAAATTTTGGAGCATAACTGGTTGAGTCGGTTGAAGTGGGATTATATAAAGATTGTAAACCAGGACTCGTTATGGTAGGACTCATTAATAAAGAATCAGATTTAGTTTTATCCATGTTTAAAAGTGACAATTGAGCTTGTAATTGATAAAGACGAATAGCAGATATATTTGTCTCGTCAGCGAGGAAACCTTTTTCTGGATCTCTTACAATAATATCTAACTCTTGGATCAAGTTACCAACAACAAGTTTATTAACAAGTTCTTTTCTTAATTTACTTAATTCATCTTGAGATAAAGTTTGAGCAAGTAATTGCCTACGTCCTTGTAATAAATCATTTATTTGATCTTTAACAGTTCTGAACATTGAATATTTTCGTTCATCCAAATATTTAGGTAACAAACTACTCCATTCTCTCACAGTACTAGCTATCTCATCAACCAGAGGTTCAGTTTTCCCACTGATTGTATCATCGCCGCATTCGAGAGATGGTAAAGGAGGAGGAGGGCGAGTGTTTTTTTCACTCATAGAAGAAGCGGTATCACTACTTTTTAGTTCAGCCGCTTGTAATTCAACATAATCAAGGTATTCTTTAATATAAACATGATTAATAGGAAAGATCCCAACATAAACTTGAGGTTCCTCAGTTTGATGTAATTGAGAAACAACATAGCCACGATACCATGCACCCTGCTCCTCAAAAACATAGACCTCATCACCTATTTCAAGTGTAACTTGATATGAGGTAATCGGAGAATTTGAATTTAAATTTGAATTAGCGGAAGAAATTGATGTAGCATCAGAAATAGTAACACCATCAGATACTGATTCGTCTTTTGTTGAATCAGAAGAATTATTTCGTGAACCAGGGGTAAAAGGATAGATTGCAAAGCCATATCCAAATTTTGGCAGAGGAACCCAGCTCGTACTTTCAGTATTTTCAGCCATTTTTATGATATGTTTTTAAAAAAGAAGGAAAGAGGTATATTAAAAAGATTTTTAGACCTACAGTAGATCGGTTCATTAACGATTCTGATTGGTTATATCATGAGAAACACGCGAAGCTTATTTGTAAGATCCACGTATTCAAATTAAGAGCGATTGAATGAATGAAAAAAAGAATTTTTGGTTTGATTAGATAATTTATAGAGAAATATAACAAAAATAAAGCATTTGGTCAAAAGAATGGCTTGAACCACCTTGATTTCAAGTGGCAAAAAAGACAATTAATTTGAACGCTTGCAAAAATGGCAATGGTTAAGGATAAACTAATAAAAGGTCTTTTTTTTTTTACAAATCCGAAATCGAATAGATTAATAAAGAATTTCTGACAGTCAAACAAATTATACATGCAGACTTTAATCGAAAATGAATGAAAACTGCGTGGCTAAAGCATGTACCTATGTTTAACAAGATAAAATACAAATGTGTGTTCTCGATATTCTGGTCAAAAACAAGAGCCGATGAAAATAAAAGAAATGAAGAGGAATCGTACGACCTTACCTTAAATTAATTTATCATTACACAATGCAATACTATGCAATGCAAATTTCCTCACAAATTTGTTGATCATAGTACAAATTATTATACGTAATAAATTTGTATATAAATGCTGAATGATCGAAAAACACGAACATTCTTCTATTAAACAATTTCCAAACGTATCTATCGATATAGCAATATATTAAGTTGTTGGTACACGAAATTTATACGTAGAAACCAATCGAACCAATGGTTACACGATTGTCACTTGAACTTTTGTTTTTTTTTAACAAATTTATATCGATATGCATTTACAGATCGAAATATATACTTGTACAACTACTGTTAAATCCAAGAAGTTAAGTGATATGGTCATTCGACTACGTACAATGATAAAGATTAACAGAAAACTTCGAGTGTAGATCTGCATAGTATTTATAAATACTACGGGGTACACTGTGGCATTTACCTAATCATGTTATCGGTTGTTTTTCGTTTAAATTGTTTAGTAAGATAGTAACTAAACCTTGGACTTCAACCGGTCAATTCTTATGATCTAGTGACTTACAATGCACCATTTTAACCTAAATTCCAATCGTATAGTTTGAAACTAATTAAAAAAGAAAAAAAAATTTATTAAAAGATATACATACTGTATACAATGTTATAAGTCGGTTGTATGTTCCAATTGGAATCTGTAAGTTCAATACTCCATTTTACTGTATAAGTCCAGTAGAACATTGTTGGTCCTGACTTCTAAGGTAAAATTTATCACCTTACTAAAAATTTCTTATATGCCAATATAAATTCAACCTCGAAATTAGCGTTATGGATCGATCCTTTAATCGGATCTACGGTTGTTCGGTCTCCACTCTTAAGACTGGCTTCATAAACAATTAAAAATCATTATTTTAACAATAATAAAAAAGAACTTTACATAGTTGCTTGTTTCAAACTACTGATGTCATATAATTTAGGTATTCCGCTGGCCAATAAAATGATTATGGTTTTTAAATTACAAAGGACCGTTTTTAGAACTTAGACCAGACCAAAAAAACATTAATAGACCGATCTTTTTAGGGACTGATCCATTCTTATTTAAGATTACAGTTGAAGTTAAACTATACATACGTATGCATATTAAGTTTTTTATGATCCGCCGATTACGTAGTAAACATTAATCTACTGTCTCGTGATAATCGTAAATACATAGCGATCGATAGTTATTTCCTGAAGCATTTATAATAACGATAATAATAATAATAATAATAATAATAATAATAATAATAATAATAATAATAATAATAATAATAATAATAATAATAATACTAATAATAATAATAATAATAATAATAATAATAATAATAATAATAATAATAATAATAATAATAATACATATAAATTAATAAAAATATTTCTGCTGCCTTATCATCTGATGGTAATTACGTTGATGTCATGACCCAGTATATAAGATATGTAATCTTGTACTATAGCTATAATTTGTATTGCGTATAAATTATAAATATAGTCAAAACTCTATAATTGCTTCTTTGGAATATAAAAAATGATAATTATATAATAATGTAATTGATATAAAATATATTTTATATAATCATAACTATATTAAAAATAAAATCTTATAATCATATAGAGGTTTTGTTAAATTAATCAAAAAAAATTTTTTTCTTTAAGCAGTTACAATAGTATTTTATTAAACCATTTGTAATTACATATGTAATTACAGAATATTATTTAATATAAGCCTGTTATCATCTAGCCACCTTAACAGTACCTAAATGTGATCTGTTATATTAGTTTAAGTAAGATTAGAATTACAATTTTTGATTCTCATCTTATAATAGAATATTGTCAATTTGAAAACATCTTATAGGAAAAAAAAAACAAAAAAAACCAAAAAAAATTAAAATTAGATATGAAAAAAATAAAAATAGAAAATAAAATAAATCTAACAAAAAGAAAATAAAATTAATCTATAAAAAGAATAAAAGAAAAAACCTGTTAATAGAATAAAATTTTATTTTATAATTATTACTTACTAGAAATATTTTTATATTTATTATAGGTTATGATTATTTTTTAGAAACTAAATATTTTTAATCAAAATGAAAACAGTATCTATTTATAAAATAAAATTTAAACTAATTATTTTTTATATATAAAAATATCTTTAAATAATTAGAATATTGTGTTAAAGTTTGAATCTTATATTTAAGTAATTTAATTCTTTATAGACTTTTGTAACTGTTTTTTTAAAAAATATTATATATATAATTTTATAATATATATAGTTTAATAAATTTTTAGTCTTTTTAGTTTAAATTTTTTTCTGATTCACTTTATATAATTAGTCAATTTATATATTTGTTGTATTTTTTATTTGTTATATTCAAACAAGCATATAAATATAAAAACATAACATACAATATTAATTTTTTGATAAAAGTAAATCAAATTCTTATTTTTTATAAAAAAAAAACAAAAAAAAGATACATATATATATTTTATTATTATAAAAATTTAATGTAAAAGAAATTTTTTTTAATTGTTTTTTATTTTTTTTTGTTTTTAATATTTTTTAATCAAAAAACTATTTTTGTCTTTACTTGCTTTTAGAATATCTTTTCAATTTAAATATTGAATATATAAGAGAGTTTTTAGACAAAAAGCTTAACCCAAAACAAGAATTACTTAAGTTTTACTTATTTTTTAATATTTTATATACTTAAACTTTGTTAATAATAAGTTTACTTGGTATAAAATTAATAATATTATTCACTTTGAGACCAGATTCTTTAATCAATTTTTAGTATAAATTTAGTTTAGATGGTCATTGAAATAAGTTGTAAATTAATTAATTAATATTAATATTTTTTTTGTAGTGAAGGACCAGGAATATGACAACCAGACCCAATGTACAGGGCAGGTTATAGTATCCTTCACAGCTGTGCAAGCCAAGCTTAAAATGGTGAGCGACTCTGTAAAAGACATTACAAATACTATCTCTACTTCCAATACTTCAACTTCTATTGAGATAGATAAATGCTACAATAAATTTCTAAAACAACATAACTTACCTCAAATACCAAAACCTGTTTCACTTAACAACTTTATCTATCACTTACATTTAAATCTCTTTTTTAATTCAATAAAAATATCTATAAACTCAAAAAAAACAGAACCACATATTTATTTACATATTGTAGAACCAACACTACTAGACCATACTATAATTGATCCTTCCTTCTACAAAACATATGGTCATTTACCATTACTAACTTCTTTTAACTGGTCAATACCTAACATAAATCATGCT